AACTTTGTACACTTAATTTAGGAGGTAATTAGATTAATATTAAGACAACTTTCATACAAAGGAAACCTATTATTCATTCTTCAAAAGGATTTGTCTTAATACTTTATTTGCTGTTCATAAACTTTTTTTTCATAATATAAGTTGTGATTATTATTCACTTTTTAGGATGCAAAATGATGCATTTTTATAGTTGAAAGTTGTCTTTTCTGTGCCTGCAGCACGAAAGTGAAAAAAAAAACCTTGCAATTGAAGAACATGTACGTATAAGCAGCATGTTGAGCCCTATCTGTGTGAACCCTTCGCCCCTCCAATTAGATAAAGGGCAGAGGATATCGTGAATCATCTGGTACATGGAGTGTTGCGTGCCATAGGTACCAAGCGGGCCCAATAACAGGTAACGCCTGCCACCCACCATTTCTGGTCAACCCCCGTGATGCACATAGTTTGCCCCATGGCCACCTGGTCCAATTTGCCGGGACCCTTCACTGGATTCTGTTTTTAGGGGTGTCTTCCTCCCCGAGAGGAAGGGGCACCAAATTGGGGATCTCTGCAGTAGTCACAGACAATTCTTGTCACAGGCTGCATGAGCAGGGGAGGGGGGCGGGGGAATCGAGGGGGGAGGGGTTGAAGGGCACACGCTACTTTGCACCCAGTTACATGTACATCAGAAAAGTTTATGGTGTTTACCATTGCATTTGCCCTGCCTATATAAGTAACTCCACCCTTTCCAGAAGGGAAATTAAAATCATGTGTTCACATATGATTTGTTTGATAACCCTGGTAGCTGAAATTTCAGGAAATGAAATGTAATTTCAAAGGGCATGCACAAGTTTTGGGATTTTCCTTGCAGTCGTTACAACAAAATATCTTTTTGCTGTAGGTTTGATCACTGTTCATGTTTTAAAAAAACTCATTAAATTTGAAAATTTTGAACTTATATTCTGCATTTTCTTGTTTTCAAGCAAAATTTTCTTATACTGTCGGTAAAGGGGGAAGGCAGATTCAATACATCCTGTATGAAACTACAAACAGCCGAGGCCCTTAATCGCAGATTAGAGGAAGGCTGACGCTCGGTGTTCTTGCACATGTTCCCAAGCTTCATAAATCACTGGAATTGAGACCGGATAGCTTCTAGTACACTCTGGAAGGGAGATAAGGCAGCGTATTTGAAGGCAGATAATCCCAGTTTGCTAACAAGGCTGCTTATTGGCAGTGACAACTTATAGTCCCGAGCAAGGGGGGGGGGGGGTCGGGATGAGAGAGAGAGTTTGTTTCAGGGCTGAGGGGTGGCGGGCGTTCGTACAGCTTCAGGACAACTCGTTAGTGAGTGTCTGATGTGGGTTTACAAGCAATTTGCAATAGAATGAGACCTTTTTTGCCCTCTGGTTGATGTTGCGTCTGAGCAGGTGGACAGGAAGTGGCATTCTGTTCACCTGCCGTAAACTCATACTTGAAACATACCCCAGACAGCTGTTTTTGTAGAGTTGACTCTGTCTGGGGAGGCTTAACTGGTTCAATAGAGAGTCATTAACACTCACCTGTAATGCCACTGGCTTCTGGATTAAAGTAGCCTACTTTTTTAGCTTGAGGCTACGAACTGATTTATGTCTGCTTTGGTGTCATATAGGCCTAAATTATTGTTTATATTCAGTGCCTATGAAACTCTGTTAATAAAATCCAAAGACTTTTTGAGCATGAATTCAATTTCAGATCTTGCGTTTACCTGATGTTTTTGATTTTCCATAAAATGTTGGAAAGGCCTTTGTTTTTGTACGGATTAATGTTCTTTTTTTTTTCTTTTTTTCTTTTTTTCTTCTTGATCTACATGTATCACAAATCCAACAAACTTTAAAGACGGTTTCTAGTTGTTGTTTTCTACTCAGTCAAAGTGAGCGTGGTTAATAGGCATGCATGTAGCTACATCTGTTTTGTTATGCTGTTTCCGGATAGGCAGGTTATTACATTTGGAGCAATTACCGAGGGTAATTGAGGTGTCAAGGGGGTACCTGGTGGGCCCCCTCACTCCCCCTTAAAAACAGTCCTTATACTTCGGGAGGGTCTTTCCGTCTTAAACCCTCAACAGGATTGTGCTCATTTCCCCAGAGACTGGCACGAACATTTCAACCCAAATTGATTTTTTTTCTTTGTACTGTAGTTTAATAAATGTCAGTCTTTTTTCTTTAGCTATATTTCAGGTTTAAAGGTCTTTGAAGACCAATTTCTCATAATATTTCTTGCCACATTCTTCTATTTGTGGACAAATATAAAACATAACAAGTTCTCAAACTGTTTTGATTTCAAGCTCAACAATCAAGATCCAAATTGCAATGACAGGGACATCAGACACAGCACATCACAATGTGTACACCATGTTCATTACACAGTGTGAACCTTTCATCTGCACAAGATAGTGGTGCCTTTTTGGCTGAGAACTTGCTATAAATTTCCACTTTTAAAGGAAGTCAGGAAAACATTTTGTTTCTTATCAAAAAGTCAGTCTATTCATTTGGTAACATTGGAGCATATGTGTGTCAATGAGTAATTTCTTATACGAAATCCACCAGTGTATATTTGGCGTCATCAGTGCTGTGTGTGCGTCAATGAATAATTCCCAGGGTTCTTAGACTCGCTATGACGAAATTGGATCGTTCTAGCTGCGAAGTCGTCATCAAAATGGAACGAACCCAGTGCTTCTACAGCTCACTCCTGTCAGATCTAATATTGCATCTTGGCGTCAACGACTCATGTACATGTACGTGGCTTACAGATGGGTTACCGTACCTTAAAAGGTAACGTCGTTCGTGGCTTTTTGTGATTGGTCAAACCATGGAGCCCAACACGAGGTTCGCTGACTTGAGTAATAGCCCCCTCCTCCAACCCCAACTGTTTGGTAAACCCCAAAAGTATGCGCTGCCCCTTACTAGATAGATTAACAAAAATGCGCAGAATCCACTGAAACACCAAGTATCCCATGCTCGACCTGGTTGTCGCAGCACCCCAGACCTAGACCTCCGAGCCCCAGATATCCACTCAGCAAAGAGACTCTGTACAGTCACGTTCAGCGGATGAATAACCCGAGAAGAGGAAAAAATATAATGGTGGCTACTGTCAACGCTTCTTCCCGCGTTCTCTCCGTCTATTTATAAAAAAAGAGCGAGAGAAAGGGAGACGAAATTGTGAGTGGCCTGCCTGTAATGGTCCCTGCTGCGTGTGGCATTAGTCAGCTATGTGGCATGCGGGTTGGTCATGGTACCCAGGATCGTGGGGCGCGTTTCCTGGCTCGGCACGTACCGGCTTTGGCTCCGCTACTGCTGATGTTGGCTGTTGTCTGAGCCTGCATTACCAGAGACTGTGCAAGATCACCTGTTCAAAGTTGGCGGCTGAGCAGTGCGGTGCCCAGCAAACTTCCCTGGTGAGTTACTCACCTTGCAGTGTAGTTAAATGAGTAAAATATAACCATTTGCTGGTCTGAGTAGGAATGATGGAGCCTTTCATTAAACTGTACAGAGCTGTTTTCTGTGCAGCAAATGGTAGGCAGTAATCTGTACTGCTATTTTGAGCTGTTCATGTGTTGGCTTTGCATGTATGTGTCTTGTGTCAGATTTCCAGACGTGCTGCGTAAGGTAAGTACATTTCTTTAAGGTTCATTTTGATTTGGCGACGGTTTGAGGCAGATTGTCATTTCTGATTGTCATTCGCGCAGTTTAAACCAGACATCCTGAAAGTCCTGTTTGTAGACTTAAGAAAATGCAAAATGATGGCCTGTAATGAAACCTGAAAGTTTGTTTCAAACCCTGACAGTTTGCTAGAAAGGTTCATGTGGCCGGAATTTTACCAATCTTACATTAGTTCAGTTTATTTTGGTTATTTCAATATTTTTGTCCAGTTGGTACATGTTGGTCTATTCTTCGTTCAGTCCTGCTCGATTGTTTTGGTAGCATGTATTTTATTCCCTTCCCGTTTCATAGTTTTATTTTTACTGCATGAATCATGTTTTAAAACGGAAAACTAGTCTGCCAACTGCCAAGTACACGTAAGTAATTAAACTACGTCTGTGGTTGTCAAATTTGAAAGTTTTGAAAGTCTGAATAAGTCCTTGAAAAATTCTATCCCGCATGTGGAGATGATTGCGCAGCTTTATATTGTGTCCTTAGTTTGCTTCAGTGAGCTGTGTGGCATTTGACGATAAGAATGACAACGCACAGACACTGCTCATTTCACACATTTACACATCCCGGACTTGTTGATGTTATCGAGGCCCTGTTCACACTCTCCGTTACGTAAATTAGGAAGTGGTTAGTAAACAGCTTCAGAATCGCTGACAGGGACTCTTTAGTTTACCACTGGACAAAATTATCAAGAGACTTGGATGAAGTTTCAAGCGCGCTTCCCCAATGCCCTCGGACAGATCTGTGAATACACCAAAAAAGAGAGAAATTGGGTTATTTTGCCCGAGATTAGCACGTAAAGGTCAGTCAATTATCGCGGTTTGGGCCTAATGCTATTTTCCGTTTTCCCAAGAAAAAGTATTTAAATGCACTTCTTGACTGAGCATCCTAAAGTTGTGGCATAAAGTTTCTGTACATGGTAACGTAAGCTTGCCAATCTCAACTCTCTGACATTGTATGTTGAAACTCTACAAATTGTGACAAGAGATCACATGGGTGCAGAATGATTTCAAAGGAGAATTTTACAATGTATATGTATGGCATATTATTGAGATACCGGTATTTTATGAATCAAGTTCTCAGGTTTTTAGTATCTTTCAACTACAACAGTGCTTCAAATGTGTCAATGTTATTTCTGATGTCTGAGACTTTCAGAATAATTAGTAATAAGAATCGTTTCCTGGGGGGAAATTGGATATCTTATACATACAAAATAACTAGTATATATTTTCAGCATTGTTAATAATACATTGCAGATGGGATTTGACAACAAAGAAAGATTTCAGAACATTAAACACCGTGGTGGATTTGTTTATTCTTGTATCATTGCAGCAATACAAAGATGATGTGAACAACTCATTATCGTCAGGCAGACACGACGGAGTCATAGTCTACAGAGGAATCACAAGAGAAAAACACAAGGTAAATGTCCAGCATAGACACTTCACATCAGTGTCAAGTTACAAAGGATGCGCGATGTTGCATGACCCGAACACCCCTGCACGTTTGCCCTTCAAAATCCACTGCATGTATTAGTTTTCAAAGGATTTCGCAGGACCCCAGCCACTATTACTTTACATGAGACTGATGCCCCTGGAAACTTTCCATTTCCAAAACAATTGTGCAGTTTTGTTTCTGCACATTTGTGGGTTGTGGCCTCGTGGTAATAAGGTTTGTAACTACTGATCAGAGGGTCAGGGGTTCGAATCCAGCTGCTGCCAATATGTTGTGTCCTTGGGCAAGCCACTTCACCCCCACTTGCCTCTCTCCACCCGGGATTATAAATGGGTACCTGTATTAGCTGGGGAGTAACCTGCCATGGACTAGCATCCCATCCAGGGGCAATACAAATATACTCAGTTGTTTCATGCCACTGAAACAGGAGATAAATACCGGCCTGATGGGCAATAATTTGGGCTAATGACAGGATTTACGTTGGTGAGTTAAGGAGCATTTGGGATAATTGCTAGCAGAGAAACCTAGGGGGTTGGGGTTAATGTGATTCAAAGTGCAAGAGACAGGGGTGATAATTTTTACATAGTTTACACAAATTTTTGCACACTAAAATCAGCATTGGAAAAGATTCTTCAACACACTACAGACATATAAATCAGCATATTTATCTTCCTGGGCCATAAAACCGTTATCGGTTTAACCAGCACTTGCTATGTAAATTATCACGAGTTAATAACAAACCGCCTGTGAACGTTTTCCGGCATTTATATTTCCGTTTTGTTTTAAAGCAAGTTTTGAAATCTCCGGGGGAAGGAAAACATCAACTCTTTTTTTCTAATACTCCTTACTGAAACAGTTGGTACTTTCTCATTTGCCTGTGGATGGTGACAGAAGCACGTAAGCCCTCCTTGAGGGCTTCCCTCGGGGCACAATACCCAGAACCTAGCTCAAAGAAACAAGGGGGAGCACTACTTGCAGACTTGTCAAGAAGTTCCGTCCCTGTACTTGAGCAGATTAGCTGGCATCCATACAATCGCCATGGGACCAATGTCCAAAGTTTTGCTTAGCTGACAAGGGAAGCATCAATTCAACTACATAATTCAATATTCCACTATCAGAACTAACTTTCATTTCATGAAATATGTTATGAAATATTGAATATCTCTTGTCATCTGGAGGACAATTTTAAGTCAACAAAACAGTTAGAACTGCAGATATAATAGTGCATAAAACTGCATGCCTTCTTAAATGTTCAAAGACAACTGCTGCTTGTACAATTGTAGCAAGAACTGATATGTGAAAGGCTTCTGCAAGTAAAAGACTGAAACATACTACAAATCTGTTTTCACAAATGTGGTCTTTACTCTTTCTTATATTTGACTGCAGAGACAGTCAAGCTCGTGGTCTTGCACCTCGAACTGCTTCACATAAAAATGTACAAACAAGTTTAAAAAAAATATTACTCACTATAGATGTGAGCATTTTAACTCTATTTTAAATGCCTTTTCATGTCACAAACGTAATATTAGTAGGCTTGCCTTTTTCTATAATCAGCATGCAAGAGTGTGGGAGACTTTCAAGGATACGTACTTTTCACTGCTGTTTTTAAGAGTTTTGACTTATTTAGACAATAGACAAATGTGGTTTTGGAGAATTTCCAATTGACGCCTTATGAGCGGAGATCAAGGACAGACTGAGTAAAATCTCAAGGGTATGATATACTTAGAATATATTTCGTACAGTTCCCAATGATTGATGAGTCAGGGACACGGATAACTAAAATTAAATCTAGCTCGTGAAAAAAATGAAACGACATAGTATCCAGTACTTTTTCAAAGAATTATGATTAAGCCATCATTACGCCAACGCTCAGTCTTGAGACAAATTGAGCCTTTAATACCGGTACATGTCTGATAAAAGAGATAGTCCCGAAGTTCTTCAGTCAAGTTTGGAATTGTGACTAACAACTGATGGCACGTAAAGATCACATTTGTCACCTAATCACTCATTTTCTGGCTGGATGTGTTGACGTACAAGGAAGCATTCATGACTTTGCATGAAACGATATGTCATGGAGCGGGGTTATTATTGTGGAACAGGGCCCAAGTATGATTTCAGTGTGCATGTCAATGACTTTGGAAGTCAAGCTGAAGCGTCTTTTTTTTCTTTTTTTTTTCTGGATGTGACGTGGGCAGCCCAGGGGTTGCCAGGAAAAAGGATATTGTGTACAGCAGAAGAGTGTTGGGGTACAAGTCATTCGCACCTTAACGTACATTTCCTGCAACCTGGCTGACATCATGACTCTGATCTGATAGCAAACGAACAGGTGCAAGCAATAGGGTGGGGCTTTAACATCGCTCTATTTCTTTAAAGATGAAGCTGTCCACGTAAAAAAATTTAAGGTGTACATGTACATAAAACAAGACAGTCTTACATACCTTCAAAACAAACAACAGAATATAAAGAAGAGAAATTACAAATGCGTGAACATAAACATACAAATAATGCTTCATTCTTTAAGTTGGTTGTAGGATGCTAGAGAAAATACAGAGCTACCGGTATAGGCCAAGTTCGGGCAAGGTCCATTTGTCGACTAGTGGTTGATTTGTGACGTACTTTACGCCTGCGCACTGATAGCAACATGCGAACGTCTCTAGTCAAACGCTGGTCAAAATGTCATCGCAAAACTTCTGGATCCTGGCTCTCATAGCGTTATGAATGCGTGCCGCTATTGGTTACCAGCGATGCAACCAGCCCCAGTAGGTTGGTTCCAAATAGTCGACTAGTGAAGTCAACCACCGTCGACTAGACAGAGTTCGGGCAAGCGTTTTTTTTCTTCAGGAGAGTCGGTGAACCATGTCAAAGGAACAACTGGAGTGTTGGCATGTTTTGGCTGCTTTTTGCTTGAATCGGGCATGGCCAGTTTGTACCCATCTATTGCTGGCAGTAACAGTTGTACCCTCCACCTGTCAGCTAGTATCTCCCAGTCCCCGCTCCTCAAACCTCCCCCCCCCCCTCCCACCGCTCCCCGTCCCCCTCAGCCCCTCAGCTAGCGTAATCTCCCAAATCTCTCTCTTCCTAAACAGCGAGCCACCAGCCGCTGGCCGACGCCACTGCCAAACTGCAAAAGGGTGAGCCAGGATTATCAACCGGTTTGGGCAGGAAACAGAGATGATTTTGCCCTTTTTTTCCCCTCTCTCCCTCTCGTGAGAGGGGGGCTAATTTGTTTATCTGTGTCTTTCATCTTCCTCATCTCGTGGGAGAGTGGGTCTGGTGTTAATTATGGGGAGGGGGTCCTGCTCCCTCTACCCTCTCCCGCGGAAACCTCTCTGATTTTGTGGCATCCTAAACTCTCCCAAAAATCTGTTTTTCCTTTAAAAAAAAGTGCAGGGCTGTGCCTAGCTGCTGCCAGCACCGTCAAGGTCGGCCATTCAGCATCTTGATTCAATCAACCTAGCACACGTGCAGATCTCTACAGATATGCCACAGTTCCTGATGTCGGGAGAACATTATTGCATTACATCCTGGTAGATACTTAATTCTCTTGCACTTTCTTGAAGCATAAACAAAATTCCTGTCAAAGGTTCTTTGAAGACTACGGGTAAATCAGCCAGTCGCTTAAAATGTATAAACTTTCCGCAAATACATAAAACTATGAACACATGCATCAAGAAACTTTGAAAATTTTGCCATTTCTTGGGAGAATGGTAAGTCACAAATAGTGCTATGGTCATGTTTTTCAACATAGTCAGTCAACATTACCACCAGTTTTCATAAAAGGAATTGCCTTTTCCTCTCAGAGTATGTAACATCATGAGCTCATGATTTCTCGGAACTGACTTTGCCTAGAAATAGGCCCAAGACAGGTGTGCTGATACGTGCCAATTACACAGTCCTTGAAAGCCTGAGAGATTTACGTCACCACACACACACACCTGTTTGTCAGTGCTTGCACCTGTAAAGTCTTGAGATATAGTGAACAAACTAGTCAGAAGTCATCAGAATAAGTTCTGTGGTGACCCACTACAAATAAGTGACTAATCACAGTAAACAGTATGATGTAAATTGGCGGACACTTTCCTTCCAAACAAAAAGTGGTATTACGTCCATTTAGGAAGTTTTCAAGGTGGATCTGTTGTTGAAGCCTGATCATGATTGGTAACGGGCATTGACAAAAATTCAGTGAACTTAATGATGGCATTAATTAAACTGGGCACCATAGGCATTGGAAAGACCTAAATTATAAAAACAAATCTCCCTTTGAAAGTAATCTCATCCACTTTCAAAATAGCCCAAATAGCTGAGTATCGAAATGAATGGAAACTGGTTGAGAGCGGCCCGGGGAAACTGACACTCGGCCAGAAAGATTTGTCTGCACTGTTCTTGAGTATATTTTCTTTCCCCGACCACCTCCAAAGGTAAATTAGGCTTTCCACATCACCTTTACGTGCCAAAGCTCGAGTTGTGGAAAGGGGGGCCACCCCATCTCTCAGGGGAGCCGAAGAAACTCATGCATGGAACATTTATAGATCTGGTGACAAACACACAGTCAATTCCTCTCACAGGAAATATTCACTTGGGTGTGTGTCACACACCCCTCTCAGCACAGGATGTACCAAGCATGTAACCTTGTTTTGTTGCCTCCTTTCCTGCCCCAGTATGTGTGAAGGTGTAAAGCACAGGCTGAAGTGATTGAGGTGTCACATCTTTTTTCTTAGTTCATTTCAACTAAATTCAAATCAAGATATTCCAGAATAGATGGTAGTGTGCTACACTGCCAATCTTAAAACATTTGACCCTGAAAAGTCATCAGTTAAGGAGAATTGGATGTTCACACAATGGCACAAGTTACAGATCTTGTGCACTACAGCATCAATTTATAAATTGAAATCTGTATATCCACAAGGCCATTGACATGTATACATATGTCAGTTTCTTTGCACTGCAACATATACATGTATCTTTCTTGTTACATCAAGATCCAAAAGTCCGCAAGGTTATCCATATTTGTCAGACCTACATGTAGAACAGTACTGCATTGCTCATCTGACATTTTCTTGAAAAATCATTGACAATTTCACATCCACATGTCCACAAGGTCATCTACCAGCATCTGTCCTCGTGCACTGATCCGTGCAGTTTTCTCCTCTACGCCGAGGTCCACATATATATGTAGTCTACAAGGTCATCCAAGAGTGTCATCCACAAATGTCACACTTTATGCACTGCAGCATCCATCTATAGTGCCAGATGAATGCTTGTGTAGATGATTCATTGGACCTATGAGAGCAAAACCTTCCCTGTAGTTTACTATTAATCTACACTGATTTACTGATCAATTAAGAAAAACAACTGACACATTCATTTGCCCTTGAAGTATGCCATAGAGACGATGTGTTACTGCATGTATCTCCCTTGACATGAGCTCATAGTAAGTCTGTTAGTAGCTGCCCCGTGAAACTGCTGTGGTGTGCTGAGTTAAATTGAGAAACAACTGAGCCAACGCATCAGTTGGTTGGAATACATATTGATAAACAAGTTTCCAGAATTGAACGCCCACTTCTGTGAACATCTGTGCAGTAGTGGAGTCCATCACAAGTCCGGTCACAAGTAAATCACTAGTCCTTTCACAAGTCCAGTCACAAGCATCATGGGACGAGCAATTACAACAAGGACTTACTTTAACACAGTTCAACTGAATAGCTTGTGACTTGAGACTCGAGCACCTGTGGTGGACTTGTGAGGACTTGAGTTGGACTCGACTGCAACACATGTGAGCATTGAGCAAGATTCTTCAAACCTTCCGTTTTATCTTCTGCACAGCCTTACCTCTCAGCGTCGTCATTACAACAAGAGGAGGAGTATCAGACAGAACCTGTAGACCTTTCAATGAATGGAACAAGAGGGCATGGCAGTAACAAGAGGTCGACGGATGCATCCGACATGGGTAAGAACAACTGACCAAGAATATTCCTGTGTTTTGAGAAAAAATCTTCTTGTCCTGTACCCAGAATTTCCTCAGATACTGCACCCGGAATATCCTTGGCTGGTTGTGGGTCTAGAGCCCAACTTGGTTTACAGTATATATGTTGACAACACTAAAAACCACAGACTTTTACAACTTACAGCATTCTGGAGGAAAAGTTTCCGTATTAAGAATGCTTCTTCATACTGCATTTTCTTGTCCCATGAACCTGTATTTCTTCCCACTTGACATCAGGGATGTAGTCGAACACATCACAAGTCCCTGCAAGTCCATCACAAGTCCTCCAGTCCCAATTCAACTCACAAGCTTTTCAAACGAGCTTTGACAAAAGCATTCCTTTGTTATTGTTCATCCACTGTTTCCTGTGACTGGACTTGTTATGGACTTGTGATTTACTGGTGACTTGACTTGTGATGGACTCAACTACATCCCTGCTTGACGTGCTGAAATGTAGATGTGGCTACATAATAGGGGTTTGGACTACAAGGAACAAATAGCACAAATCGGAACTAGAACACCCCACAAGTCAGTTCCATAGAAATCTCAGTACCTCACTCGGAAATGCTAAGGAGTTTGAGAGTTCCATTGAAACAGGGAACAGGAATACAGTGGGAAAAAAAAACATTTACAGAAGTGGTGCTCCCTTAAACCCCATATGTCAAATTGTGTCTGAGCCCACTTGGGGTAACAGTTTTGGTATCTATTTTGGTGCATACTTTGGTGTTTTAATGATAAATGTCCTCTTCCTCAGATGACAGCCCAGTGGACCTTAAGAAGCATGCTGGTAGCCTTGTAGTCTCCTCATCACCTATCCCACATAGGCCGGGCAGGGAAGAGGATGACCGGCCCACAGTCACGCTGGAGAGCATCACGAAAAGCGGGGCTGGGGCACTCATCAAAGTTGCACAGGCAGCTGAGTAAGTAGGATGTGTAGATTTTTTCAGAATTTAAGATTGCGGATCCTTCTTTGTTAATTGTTTAGTGGAGGCTACAGACTATGGACTTTGTGTAGGAACAGTACATGTAGATGGCCCTGTGTGACCCTTCAACATAGCTTAAGCGTGTTTGGGGCACACCGCATGTGTACTGTGGTTTTACATCAAGATTTTATTTCATCTAGTGGTGCCATCGTCGTATGAGTGACAGGCACGTAAGGGATGCATTTATTGGCATTTCTCATATTTGTCTCTTTGCCACCAATGTGGGAACTTGCACGCTGAGTCCATTAGAGCTGTATACGATTAAAGTAATCGGTTCTTGTTTCTTAAGCATTTTTAACCCCCAAGGCTTGTTGCATGTGCCCTGCATCAAGAAAATTCTGTCAGCACCTTGCATTCAAGAAAACATGGCAATATGACTCCCCTTTGCCTCTGCAGGCCCCTATCAGAAGTGAAACATCAAGCCAATCTCGATCGAAGTCTTAATCAGATCCTTTCTTACCTTTAGACGGACAGATTGACACTAACACCAAAATGAGTCACTCTTTGATCCTGTGTGAATGTTTTTATCTTCTAAACTCAAATTGACATTTTCTCTCTTAATATACTCTTTGCGAAAATAATAACTGGAATTAATTTGATGTGAAGGGCACATGATGAAAAGCAAATCCGTCCAAAGCAGGCCCGAAAAGTGCAAGCATATTAGGGTGATGTCATGTTGCATTTGGAAAGAAGCCAGTGACTAATTTGGGTCTCGCACCAAACCTTGCCTTGTCATCTGCTAGTAATCTGCCACAGGAGGAGGACTGGCATTGCGGTTTTTGGATGTGGCGTGGGGATGATTAGGTGGGCAAAGCAACAAAGTCTCCTGAAATGACTGTGCCTTTGAACCAAAAACACAGAACGAGGCAGCAACCCGTTGTATCTCTCAAATTTGTTTGATAAACATGAGTCTCAATGGTTACAGTTGAATGTAAGTTATTACTTTTTTTAATTACATTTAAGTACTTAACTTACATTCAGATTTGAATGTTTGGGAAAACTTCGTTGTCATATGGCTTTTCTCTCTGAACACTTCAACCACAGTCCCGTAGCTGTAGACTACAGGCACATGGGCCCTTGGCACCCAGGCCGGCCAAGACGGACCTCCTCCTCAGAAACCAGCTTAAGGGGCACCAGGGCAGCCACAGAACTCGTACTAGACAACGGCAAGCGGCGCCGGGTCCACCGCTGCACGTTCCAGGGCTGCAACAAAGTGTACACGAAGAGCTCCCACCTCAAAGCTCACATGAGAACCCACACAGGTGAATTACTTGCCCTCATGTCTTGATCGGTTTCCAAGTGTTGGACCAGCAATCTCTGGGATTGAATTCTCAATGGAATTCACACTTGGCACATGTGGCCCATTATTAGGTCTGTCAAGCTGGGATGACTAGCAGGATTATTTGTTGTGACGTCCAGCAAATGTCATCGCCATAATTCAACAAATCTGTGCCCAGACTGCACATAAGGTCAAGGTTTTACCACATAAGAAAGTCCGGCCTAGATTCCTTGATCATGCACTGGTACACTGGTTTTCTGTTCTCTGTTCTCTGTATGCTTTGGTGTGAAACATGAACATTGACACGAAGGTTATGAATATAATAACTCCATCTGTACCATTATAGTGTGACTGGGGAGGATTGTGTCTATATTGTTAATGTTTTAGGATAAAAGGTCACGTTTCTCAGCACGTTGTCATTTGTCATTAAATTTGGGTCATTATTTAATTACATTCCAATTGCCTCAAAATATCTTTAGGCATTAGTAAGTATATGGCACGTGGGTATCAAATCAAAAACCGATCCCATTTTCAACTAAGCAAGAATTACACCTCAAGCCATAACACACTTCTCATAAGTATCTCTATGCCTTTGTAACAAACATCACTTTCATGTGACACCTCAAAGGGAAAGCCAACACAGTCTCCAACACCGTCACTTCCCATTCCCCTTCTTCCCCCTCCCCCTCCCCCCCCCCCCTCCCCCTTACTGAATAAAGAAGGTGAGAAGAAACTGGCCCTGTTCCCAGAGGCCATTGGTACCGAGCCGTGAAAGGGCAGATTTGCCTGACACCTTGGCTCATGTGGGGAGCATTTAGGGGGACGGAAGCCGCTTAACACCTCTGGTTCTCAACGGCCCAGCGCTTATCCGTCACTCGCTGATTGCTTGTTCAAACTGTCCTCCCTAGGCACCCCAAGCATCCCCCCAACTACCATCCTGTTCCCGTTGTGGAGTTGGATGGGGTAGATTGGGGACATTGTTAAAGGAATTTTCCATTCCTCTTGATAATATAGTTTTAAAGGGGCAGGAATGCAAAAGTTCTCCTCTTTGTAAAATCCAAAGTGAGGATTTATCAAGTACATTGTCTCAAAGTTTCTCATATTTGTAATAACAAAAAAAAAAATGTTTTGAGAGACGGTGCAAATTGATTCAAATTCCTTCTATGCGAACAGATTTCACATTTACAAATGTAATGAAGTTGGGCATGTATATTGGGCAACTTCAGCCACTTGCCAGTATTCAACAATGTGAATTTATTCCCGCACATCAGAAGCCAAACCAACACTCAGTTTAAACTGTCTGAGATTCTAAGGCTTGCACAATAAAGTTCCTTTATTAGCAGCAACAATCCCACAGACCTACATATTGGTCATCTCTCTATTCCCACAGGAACTTGACTACATGCATGACTAAATGTAGGAGGGGTATTTTTTTGGGGGGGGGGGGTTTCGTTGATTGGATTTATGCGCTTATTGTGTCTCGTTTTTCCCAACATTTGCCATGTTGTCGTAGCTACCGCACTTTGGAAAATTTACCTAGAGTTGCTCAATTTATCTGTGACAGTGTGTATGGGCCTGTCAAACTGCAAGCTTAAACCTAACTCCTCATAAAGTGGGCAAATCCAAGAGAAGGTCCCCTTGTGGTCCCGTGCGTAACACATCATGTTTTCTGTAATTAGTCTTCGCAAAGACTGATAACAAATAAATTCTTGTTGGTATTGTCCTCTGGATGTCCCATGCAAAACAAATTCTTACGTGAATTCTTGGACTTGCCCAAGTAGGAATCTTCCCGAATCCACCAAAATCCCCCATCATGCCGAGGCCCAATTGCAAATCCTTTGGACTTACATGTATAACTTTTAAGAGGCAGAAGTATAAACGTTATCGCGAATTGGCACTACCTCTCTGAGAATTGCAAAATCCTCCTAAACCTCCCGGTTGATTTTAAAGGATCTTGGAGAATTATGGCTTAGTGTCTCTAGATTACCGGCCATTATCCATGAAATATGAATTTCCCCTGTATTAACCTGTGCTTATTTTTGCTTCTTTTTTCCCGTCACTTTCCAGGGGAAAAGCCCTACAAGTGCACATGGGAAGGATGTGGCTGGAGCTTTGCCCGTTCTGACGAGCTCACCAGGCATTTTCGTAAACACACAGGGGACAAACCCTTCAAATGCCCCCAGTGTGAACGAGCCTTCTCCCGGTCCGACCATCTCTCCTTGCACATGAAGAGGCACTGAGAGGAGGACCATTTGTAGCTATTTTTTTTTGAGAATGATGATGCTTGAGGTTTCTGAGACAATGAACAAGATTGGCAGAAAATGTCTCTCTATCAGGCCATCTTGTCCAGCAAATGATCAGGAGTGTTCTCCCGTGTACATTGAACATGCCTCATTCCGTATCCTAAACGAGACAAGTCTTGAGTGTTGTTGTCAGCTGCAGATATGCTCTCCCGTGAACTCAACGTGATTTTCTTTCTATAGCTGTCAGAGGGCAGTGTATATGCAGTAACAAGCAGTCTGGTTTGCCACAGGCTTGAAAAGTATCCTACCTGATGCAAAATGTATGTGCAACACCATCTGAATATGTTACCAACTCCTGATTTTTGTCACTTGTGAAAAAAATTACTTTTTTGTAAAAAAAGCTGTGGCACGCCATGTCTTGGGTTTCAAAATCTTATACTCTCTGTTTCAAATATGGTGCGTTCTCTGTAGTGTTCACTAAAATGCAGCAAGCATTTTAGTTATTTGTGCATTGACTGTCCCTATGGAATACCCATGTTCATAAGTAAAAGGAACAAGTTGCAACAGCCATTGAATTGAGAAAAGCTGGGGTTGTGTTTCTGTAGAATGTGTGTTTGAAACTTGGAGGTTAGAAAAGTACCATTCAGTGTAATCTAGCAGGTTAAGCAGTCATGTAAATTTTATCATGTAAAGCCTACTAAACAGTCATTGGTACAGCTTTTGATTCAGTTGCTTAGAAAAGAAAAGAAAAGAAAAGGAAATCTCTAAGTAAAAACAATTTTAACCTCTTTTTACTATTGTAGAGACCCTGATGTACCCTAGCTGCCAGCCCATTTAACAGATTGTGATCATGGTCAGTTAATGTGTCTTGTTTGGTTCACCATTGCTTTGCTGACTCATTTGTTGTAGGAATCATTTGTCTAATCTGTTGCTTTTGGCTTCCTTTTGGCATGGGTGCCTTATTGGAAATCCAGCAGACTTGTCTTGGAAAGTTTACAACCGTGTATGTTGGTCTTTCCATAAATTTGGGGTCCGGTACTTTGTTTGTTCCTGTTCCATCTGATTAAAGATTTTTAAATTCAGGACACATTCTTTAATGCCTTCTATCTCCCAGAGTGATTATGTAATGCAAAGTACCTGCCAAACAAATACTAATAGTTTTGAAGTCAATTTTAATGATTACTTACATGGCAAATTACAAAAGTCAGTTGTAACAGGGACACACAAAAATGGCACACACTTTTATCAGACCCCAAATTTTTGAGTGACCCATGTACAATCATCAACGTGATTTCATTTTGTAAATATCTTTTTGTAAATACGCTTGGTGAATACCTAAAACAAAAAAAGTGTACCAATAATATAGATATGGTATTAGTAACTGATTATTGACAGTTTTAACATGTGCAAAATGGTGTCTATAAACCCACCATGTATCAAGCAAAAGAATGGCTTGCCTAAAAAATTGCTTCAAACAATGCATTTTTGGTATCATCTTTAATACCAACTCTGCTGAAAATGTTTCATCCACTGCGTGAAATGACAAGTGTGATGGATGAAATAATCAGCATACATTAACTGCATGTAGCTCAGGTTTGCTCTTTTATCATATGCTGTAACCCAAGCCTTAAGATTAATGCTGGCAAATTGTTATCATGCTACAGTTTTCTAAGTCATGTTGAAGGCCAGATTAGGACATAGTGTTTTTGATCAAACCATTCAACTCAGCGTGGTAGTGAAGTCCTTTTTTTTTTGAATCCTCAAAAATTCTGAAATATAAGGTTGCATATACCAGCTTATATTTCAGTGTTATTGTCAGACTCGGAAAAGGACTGGACTTAAAACACTGATTCAAATTCTTGAGTGAAAGTGTTCCTGCTTAGATGTAACTCACATGTAAGATATCTTTTATAATGTTTGATTTTTTTAAACCAAGTTTTGAACAAAAGGAAGACAGAGGAACAGTGGAACTGGATGAAAGTACAAGGCAAAAATCGCACAAATAGAGAGTGAGAGAGAACAGAAAATGAAAGCGAATGGTGGTGGATATGGGGATGGGGCGGTTGAGGGGATTCAGTGGGATGGGAAGAGGTGTGAACTGAGTGAGATGACAGGCGTACTTTAGAACATTTGCTAAAGTTTGAGGGAAAAAATGGCTTTGAGAGTGACTGAGGGGTTTATTTAAACATAGTGTTAACGTAGACTGCTTTGAGAAGTTTTTATACTTTAAACTGGTTTAAACGTAAACTAGTTACCAGTTAATCACAATACTGTAACTAGTTTGAATCAACCAGCATATCACTGCCAAGGTGGTGGAGGGGAAGGACTGAAATGATTTTGAAGGACAGTTCCATGGAACGGAATGAAATTGATATACCTCATGTACTCAGTAGCAAACTTTTTGTGTTTATTTTTGTTGTAACAATGTGATATTTAAACAGTCATTGACAGTGTTTTGCTTATGTGCTTCTTGTCTGCGTATGGCACGATTCATAGCTTGTTTTAACTCATAATACTTTTTGAACAATTAACCAGTTACAATTATTGCTTACTCTAGCTGCATATAGGTACAAAACCTGTTGCCCAACTGTTACGTGGTTAACATGATTTGCATAGATTGTTGTGTGCACTTTATATTGAATACTTCACAGTCGTCGCCTTGCTCTTTAGCAGGTATAGTGTTAATCACTGAACTACAGTTAACTCTTGTTAAAACAAACTCTGTTACAACAAGTTGCAATTACGGTGATGATAAAACCTCGGTCCCAACCGTGCATTTATGTGCACAATGAATGGGACCGGTGCTTCTATTAATACAAAATTCTGACAAACATTTTGGCAAGGTCCAGCTGAGTTGGACGTAACGAGAGTCGACTGTAACTGTGTTGTTAACTTATATTGGGTCAGTGCAGCAATATCATTTTTGATAGTCTCTTTTTTAAGTATGTGTTTTTGGACAAAAATACATTATGAAACTATCCTGAAGCTGTGGGTGTCCCATACTGTCAGTACTGTTAAATCCTGAGTCACATCTTGGTGGGAAAACTCGTTGGTTACAAATAACTCAACCACTCACTGAGATCTTGAAAACTGATTTAATTCAGTTGTTAATCAATAATGCATGGATAACGAAAATTGGTTTGAAGACATACAATATCAATACGGCCATTTTATTTGCTTAAACGCATTATTGTTTATTCATGCAAATTGTAACACTTTTGTTGGAAGTATTTTTTTTTCAATATAGTAATATGACATTGTTGCACTGACTCAAATGGTTGGTGTGGCAGACAATATACAAATGTTGTGTAGGTTAGAGCATTGCTGGTTATGTTTCTGGTTTAGTTAGATTGATTATCAATGTACATTGTATGTATGCTTGTGTGTATATTCATAGGGAAGTATGTTTCCCTTACAATATTTTATTTGTACTTGTTCAGTGTATGTTATCACTATGTAGTCAACTTGAAATACAACTGGAAGAAGACAAACATCCAACTTTTCTTATCGCTGCAGTACTGGCACGGAATGTACTTTGGTGGGGGAGCTACAGGCTTTGATATTTGTGTATAATATGAGAGACTGTTGTCTTTAAAAAGGGCCCAAAATGAATGACTGTAGCACAGTCTTGTTCTTTTGGTATGACATTTTAATCAGGATTGTCCATGTTTACTGTAATTGTTTCGACTTTCTTCTCCCGTGATCAACCTTCTTTATTTGTTCAATACTGTTATTACTATGGACTAAAATGTAAATTCTATTTATTTGTTTCCAGTATCAACGCTTTGTCTCTTTATGAATTCAAAGAGAAGGGACAAAAAGAAGTCAACATTGGTTTAAATCTCAATAGTTTCTGGTATATGAAGACCATGTTTCCTGCCCCAAGCTGGAATCCTTGCTGATTTTACAATCATGCTTTCATAGAATGAGAACTACTCCTGCCTAACTAAGCTTTAGTTTTCATGTACTTCAACCCAACTCCATGATCCAGAAACATACTTAAAGCTGCACCCTTACATGTACATGTGAAATGTACAAGCTGGGGGCTGGTGTACATGTATTATAACAACTTCTATTATATTTTTGTTTTAAGTTAAATTAAAGAGTTGAAAATTATATGCAGCTTTAATAACAGTAATTTTACCCTTTTTTGTGTTGCAGTTTTGGCCTCTAAATATGTAGACTAGCTTCAGTTTGTTTGTATCTGTGGCTTTGTGGTAAAATATATATGTCATATATTTAGCAGAATCAATGATATTTTTAACTTCCCTTGATGGGGGTTGGAAAATTGTTTTAAATACAAAAACAATATTTTGTATTGCGTGAGTAATATTTTATTATAATGGAATTGTGTGTTGTATTACTTTAATTGGTGCTCTATTTGATTTGTGGGGGCTGGTTTTCTCTTTATCATTGGCGCATTTGTAATTTAGCCAGTGAATGTAAATTTATGTAAATTCATGCAAATAGCATGATGCAATACTCAGTTGTTGTAATGATATCGAGGGGCGGGGCTATTTGTGGGGTTTGTAATATATTAATATCAATTGTTATTACTGTGTTTTAAACTTTGTTTAATAATAAAATAAAATGTAATCTGTACAAAAAAATTAAATCAAATACATGTATGCTGTTGATGCATTTATTCCTTGATTGTCTTTCCAGAAGAGTGTTGTGTCAATGCAATAAGATGCTCATAGGGAGGGTCATACTCTGTGGATATGGGTGAATCTTTGGGGGGGGGGGGGGGACTGCATAGTGCCTATCAATTGTTTTGCTCCTTTTGTTTGCATTTTGTTTTGTAAACTTTGATTATTTTGATGTTTGTTTTGTCCGCTTTAAAAATCATTTCCCTTTGTTGGCTGTTATATTGGTCATCTATCGTCTCTTGAGGTGCATCGTTGTGGCTATCAATCGTGATATTTATAAATAGAAGGGAAAACATCGGTACTGGCCAGAACTATTTACATATTTTCATTTAATTTGATTAATTACTTTTGTTGTTGTTTTCTTGCATCTTCCGTGACACCCCCCCCCCCCCCCCTTAAAAATATATGCACGCCAAATCCAGCGTCGCGCGAGAGCGGCTTACTATATCCCAATCTAAATGAACTTTTAAATGAAATATGCCGGACAAACTTGACATTGCTTGAAAGCTGAATAGAAGGCCAGCTAAATGGGAAATCGCCAAATCATTAGACGAAATGTAATCAATGTTTACTTCCGGTTTCTCTTTGTGCTGTAAATCCCGTAGCAAGAGCGCCGGGCGGTAGCGGCTTGCTATTATGTGGATCTAAATAAATTCAAAAATAGAATATTCCAAACAAAGTTTGCATTGTTGGAAAGCTGGATCATTGGGCAACAAGATGCAAAAATCACAAAGTCCACGGACCCACTAGTCTTGAAAAAAAAATGTGAGATGTCAATGTTTACGTCTGGTTTCTCTTTTGTGCAGTAAATCCGCAACGCGCCGCGCTCCAACATCTCGATAAAGGAACTTTAAAATAGAAAACTCCGGACAAACTTTAACTTGTTGGAAAGCTGGATAGTAGGGCAACAAGATGCAAATATCCGCGAGTCCTTAGACCCAATAGTTTTTGAGAAAATTTAAGATGTAGGCATAGTGTGTCTTTTGTGCAATACCCCGTATACGTAGCAACCCCCCGTCCGGTCCTGAACCTGAGGCTAACAACGTCGGCGCGGGGTCTTTTCGATTCCACTCGCTGTCAGACCTCAAATCTTTGTCCCATTTGCATAATTCTTCTGCTACAAAATATTAAGAGACTGTTGGTTTTTTGTACATGTACCTCAAGTTTCCCTGCAAAATTTGTACTTTATAGCAAGCTGGGAGTTAATATTGACACCGTTTATGGGAGACCGTGCGTGCAACTTCACCTAGTTAAAAGCCGGTCAACAGGGGGCGGTATACAAGACGACCAGTTTTGTCTTTTTGGTATTTTTTTCTCGAACTTCTTAAAACTTAAACTTAAAGTTTGCGCGCCTATAGATTCCTACTACTAAAAAGTAGCCTGCAAAAACAGAAGTGATAGTTCTGCTGAGCCTAGATAAAGTAGCGGAAAGGGTATCTCCAAGTCCAAGTAAGTACAAAATGTCTATGATGAAGGGAGGCGATTTTGTGCTATTTAAACACAAAAAAACACTGATTAAAGTTTTAAGACATGTCCTCCTGTCAACATCACCACATCCTACTGACACAACATAGGTAGCGGTAGAAAGTTGAAGTAACCGGGAAAGGGGGCAGTAAATAGGACAACCCAAGGTATTCTCAAAATTTCAGTTAACAGTACGCTGGTAAAGCATTTACCTGTTTTGGTTGCATGGGCTTGATATACACCCTTGTACAAATTCTCTGGCAGATTTCTATCTTTATTCCTACGTTCTCCTAGAAAATGGGCAAAACAAATATTTTTTTCCCCCTGCAACCAGAATTGAGGATAGGATCTTCCAGATTGAGAGTCCCACTTTTTCGGACTATTAGAATTATGATGTATTATTAATCGGGTAGCACATTTTCATCAGACAGGCCTAGGCCTACATGTTTCTTTTTACAGTACTGAATTTAAGAAAGTAAATTAGTTTGCCAAATACAGCCAACTATTCAAGTTCCATTGAATGTGGTAACTTGCAACTGATCAATTCACTTATGAATAGATGGCCCAGATTTAGGCACGCTTTAGTGTAGGCCCCCTACACTCGGGTCATGGACGCTGGACAGGACATTCATGTAGTACTGTAGCTGCATACAAAAGCATACCTGGTCTCCCTTTGATGTCTTTGATTTAAATAGACAGCTATACAAGCAGCTTAAGCTAAAGGTTCAGCAACTTATTTTCTGCTTTAACTGAGAGTCTTTGTGTATAGGCCCTAATAATAGAATTTTGCACTTTTGATTGTAAAGATCTGGATGAAAAAGCCTGCACCAATTTGCAATTTATTGGATTGCAAGTCAATAGGCCTACTCTTTTCCAGGCTGCTATACATGCAAGACTAACCAACCAAAACCACTTTCCAAGTAGTCTAGGCACCAGAAAATGTTGAGTATTTCCAAAAGTTTCACAGCAGTGGGTTACAGCAGTCAACTTCAGTGGTGTGAATCTTTTCCTTTTGATTTTTGGATAGTAAATCAACTAACTTACTCATCATATAACTTTTAGAAAAATCTAACTTATCTTTTGGACTATATGGCCATGCAGTTTGCTTCCATATTTTGTTTGCACTAAGAAAACAAATCTTTCTTGTGAGCAGAACATCAAAATTACGAACAGATTTGTATGCATGACCAACCAAGCACACTTTTGAAAGGGGTACTTATGCTTAACGGCACCAAGAGAAAAGTTGGATTTCTAAAATTCGTCACCTTATGTTAACATCAGTCAACTCTCACTGGTTTATTTGCTTTCCTTTGTTGAAATGTTTTTTTTTAAAGCATGGGTCTGTAAAACGTTTAGAAATACTTAAACCTGGCCCATAGATGTTGACTGTGCATTCCACTTCCAACTATTTCTATTGAATTGAAAGATATGAGAGAAATGCATGACTGGTGCTTAAAGCCTGAAGCAAAGTAATATTGAGTTATGTATAAATTACAATATAGTTATAAAGAGACTTTAACAGAAGTCTCAAAAGTCTGTAACATTATTTCCTATTTTGTTTATTTTGTTTCAGTACCTATACATTTTAGCAACATTCTCAAAAGTCAAGGTGATGATTTATACAAATGATAAAGCAATAATTTCAAAAGAGCGTTTTAAGCTATTTTGAAGAGTACACACCACTGAACCTGAGATATTAACTGTACTTGTAAAAAACACCACAAAACTATTTTTAGTTTTCTTATGTTATTCTGTTGCGTAAAACAGATACGGGTTTCAAAACCAAATGGTACATGTCAGATGTTACCCCTGGATTTTTTTTTCTGCATCTAACTGGAAATATTTAATTTTTGCATTTGTCTTTTTCTCTTTTATTGTCAGTTCAGCTAAAACTTCCCATGTACATCTCTCGAGGATAGCGTTTGATGGTGGGCCTATGTCACCACAGTGGCAGCAGTATCACACCTATGCAAAGTGCTGCAAAGTACTGATGACTCCAGAGCCACGTTCTGGGTACCTGCCCCGCTGCATGATATTTTATCCTCCCTGGATGACATCCAGAATATAATGCTGTCATCGGCTGGCATTGTTTGTCTTAACAGGTAAGAGGTTCAGTAGCATTACATGTCAACGCAGGATCTAGAGAGCCTGCGCGATGATTGATAATAAGCAGCAATGTCTAGTTGATGGTGTCTGCTTTCTGATACATGGACTATAGTTATGCATTTCTTTGTTATGAATTCAGTCCATAAGTGGAGTTACAACTTTAAAATATGATGGAGTTTAGTGTTCAGTAGACTGTACTATCAAGTCAAATGGTATAGTTTTATTACACTGGGTTCAAGCAAAGTAATCCTTCTTTCCGTCTTGTATTTGAAAATATTCTCAAATCTGTTTTTTTACAACTTTGTGGAAAATGCAACTTAGACAGAAATTTGTTAGGCCCCTATACCTCAAGAAGGAATTTTCAATCATGACCTTAGCTGTGAACTTTCCAAAGAGACATGAAATAAATAATACATAATGTGATAAGCAACTGCTGAATTTTGTTGAATTAATTAGAAGAGTCATCCTGCTCCTATTTCAGAAATTTCAGTATGCAAGTTTAGAGTGCATTGTAATCTTCATGCATAGCAATGAATGAGAGATATCAACTTGGGAGGAGGGTGCGGTTTTGGGGTTTTCTTATGTGTTTGTTTGTTAGGGTTGTTAGGGTTGTTCAGGCTTTTGGGCTGTTTGTGTGGGTTTTTTTTGTGTTTTTTGTTAAAGAATACAGCTTTGTTCTGTTCAATTAGCATGGTAAGCAGTGTATTACTGACTGCAGTAGGTCAAAGCAAGTGTTTCAAAATAGGCATGAATTCAGAAGAAAAAAAAGCAAAATTGTTTGCATTTATATAATTATTTGATAACTTTCAGAGCTTGGTCCCCTTCTCCACCCCTCCTCTCAATTCCCATCCCCAGGGCTCAACATGTAACAGCTACTTGAATGCATTTGATTTATCAGGCAATGCTTCCATAGGTCTCGACCCTTTACAGGAACTTGGATTTGGGGCATGTGTTCACAAGTACTACAGAGAGTTGTAAATTTGTGCTGTTTTTTTTTTTTACGAGACCATGTCGCTGAAATCGTATATCACAGCTAGCATAAAGATAGCTCCAGCTAATGTTAGGTTAATTGCCAGCAATAAAATGCACGCTAGTCCCTGCTGAGATTATGATTTATTTTGAGAAAATCGTTGCATTTTATTACAGCGTTTTATTCTTGTTTTTTAACTTATTGTAATTTTTGTGTGGCTGGCCAGTACTATAAGTTTCTGGGTTGATAAATTGCAAAGTATGTGTCAAACTGAACAAAATGTAATGTTTGAATTAAGCTGCCGGATCAGAAGTACTTGCAGAAAGCATTTGGGCACTGTGATACAGAGAAAGAAAAGGATTTTAAAATTGGACTTGACCTCTTGTTTTATTTTGATTGTTTATGTTTTTTAAATAAGAAATTAATACAAGAAAAATTGGTTTCAGGCATTTAAAAAAAAAAAAACGGAAAAAGAAATTCTACAACAAAATGACCTTTTCCCCTGATAAATGCATATCAGGTATTGGCACTGAAGGAGTTAAACAAACCTCAATACGAATGGCCTATGACAGACTTTTCCATGATTTAAAGTATTGCAAACTTGTGTGTAAATCGGGCTTGTGGATAACCTGCCCAACATGTTTTTTTTCTGTACTGTTTAAATTTACAATTAATAGTGAACTTGTGTGTAGATCTAGCTTGTGGAACTGATCTGGTACTTGCAACCTGCCCAACATGTTTTTTTCTGTACTGTTTAAATTTACAATTAATAGTGTCTTGTTTATTGAAGACTGAGATAAACTCAGATTTAATTGTTGAGTCTGGAGGGGGATCAAATAAAAAAAAAAAAACCATAGGCTGAGATAGAAGCAAAAATAAACTTAAGATGTCTTTCTAACTTCCCAAAATGTTGTCTTTACTATCTCAAACTCAGTATTACATTTGAAATACCTGCTGAACGTTCTTTTTTTTTTAACCCCATTGTTTTCTCCTTCAAATATATGTAACACCAGGTTAATATCTTTCGATAAAAATAATGTTCTATGGACTAGACATTTATGGAGCGGTTTGTAAAAACAAATTTAATCATCTGTGTGAATTTTGTTAAGGACCCGACACTTGAACTAGTGACAATGTAATGAAAAGGCAGTGGGATGATAGGTTTGAGGGTGTAGGTACCAGTTGTCTTGTTCTCATTTCTTTACCCCATCATCCACACACGGGTGACTGTGAAAGTACAGGTGCATACCGGTACATGCAATGCAATGAAAGCACAGGTAATCATTGTTACTCAAAGGAAAGTACAGGGGGCCCTCATCTCTCGGCAGATGTCTGGGTACTCAGCTTCCTTCCGGTAACAAGCTTATCTTAGGTCACACAGGTGAGCACATCCCAGACAAGACACTCCATAACACGAGACACCCTAAGTCTTGGCACAAAGACCCATCTTTGTCTTCTTCTTGTTTCTCTCCCCTTATCCGCACAGGTGACTTTGAAAGTGCATCCCGTCCCGACGCAATCCTGGCAAATTTACAACATCAAGGTGAGTGAGTCTAACCTGTGGGTAGCATTTTCATGTCCTGATGCCTGTATTATCGGACTTGAATGGGGATAAATCAGGCAGTTACTCGCCGCGTGTTTATACATGAGCAGAATTATGTGGCTGTAAATTTGAGGTTGTCGATGATGTGCAATCTGTGGAAAGCGTGTCGCAGAGGAAAATCTTGGATGTTGTGTGCACTCTTGATGAAAGTTAAAAACTTTCACAAATAACAAGGAACTCTGTTGAGATTTATTTTCCTGTTTATCGGTATGCATCTTCTTTGTTGCAGTCTTGGGTGTGACTAAAAAAATTATCTGTATGTAGAAGTTTGGTGGTGTAGAAGAATAGTTATTGCAGTGTACAATTTGTTCCTCCTTTTCTGATTTATGACTATGCCTTGGCATAGATAGTTGAAATAATGTTCTTTACAGCACATCTATTTGGATTAAGCTGTTTCTTAATAAGAGTGATAAAGGCTATTAAGCAATTATGAGGTGTCCTCTGAAAGGATGGATTTTTCAAGGAAGGAGCAAGCTGAACTCCATCTCAGAATGTTTCTGGTGTCTTCCTCTCCTACCCATTTCTTTCATCATATTGGCCACTTCAAGAAATTTGCAACAGCGCCCTCATCTGTCATAACTAGGAAAAAACCTGCCTATTTTAACAGACATAACTACTACTACTAGGGTGTCCCCCCAAAAACCTAACCCTCAAAGTGCTCTCTTTTTTCACAGCTTTATAAAGCATATGTCAAATTTATTTGGATTTGTCCATAAACCTTAATTTGCCAGCTTTAATATACTGAAAACATCATTTCAATCGGTTCAAGACTTGTTGAGTAACTAAACAAAGATATTGCTTTTTCATTTTGTCCACGGCGTCCGATGTTTGACTGCTGCAATGAGAACAAGGTCCAAAACTTGCATCCATGAAAGTAGGCAACCAATCTGAGGGCAGAGCAGAACAGTAAACATCTATAAAGTTAAACAAAACAGTCCTTTTCAGGACTGCTATTTCTTCCAAAACGAGAAATGACCATCGTTGCAAAAAATAAAAAGTACGAAAGAACCAAATAAAGAGGAAAAGATTAACAAATTAAAGAAAGTAAAGCTCCCCCCCCCCAATCCATTACAGTCCTAATAAAGAGTTAAGAAAGAGGGCAAAATGAAACAGCGTCACTTTTGTGAATTGGCCATAACTCAATAAACATTTTCCTGGTTGAAAAGGTGTTTTTTTTGTTGCTGAAAAGCTGATGAACTATACTTTTTACCCCTCAGCCGAGAGGCCGTGGTGAGTTAAATGTAAATGGTTTCCGGATGATAACTTGAGTTAGAAATGAGATTTTGGTGTCTAACTTTGGTAGGGGGTTGCCCTTGGGAGTAGGCAAGTTGGGATTGGTTTTGAGGTCAAAAGGTCAAAGGTCAAGGTCACCGTGGTGAGTTAAATGTAAATGGTTTCCGGATGATAACTTGAGTTAGAAATGAGATTTTGGTGTCTAACTTTGGTAGGGGGTTGCCCTTGGGAGTAGGCAAGTTGGGATTGGTTTTGAGGTCAAAAGGTCAAAGGTCAAGGTCACCGTGGTGAGTTAAATGTAAATGGTTTCCGGATGATAACTTGAGTTAGAAATGAGATTTTGGTGTCTAACTTTGGTAGGGGGTTGCCCTTGGGAGTAGGCAAGTTGGGATTGGGTTTGGGGTCAAAAGGGCAAAGGTCAAGGTCACCGTGGTGAGTTAAATGTAAATGGTTTCCGGATGATAACTTGAGTTAGAAATGAGATTTTGGTGTCTAACTTTGGTAGAGGGTTGCCCTTGGGAGTAGGCAAGTTGGGATTGGTTTTTGGGTCAAAAGGTCAAAGGTCAAGGTCACCATTGTGAGTTAAAGGTAAATGGTTTCCGGATGATAACTTGACTCTGGCTGAGGGGTTTCAACAGCAACGCTGTTATTTTCAAATATGTAGCAATATTTCTGATACATGTACCGGTATTCTTAAACGAAAAGCTGTGACAAAGAGGTGCTTTGTGGGTTCGGTTTTTTGGGGGACACCCCCATATGAGCCCCACTGCTGAAAACTACTGCTCCAAACAGTAGTGTAAAATGCCACTCAAGTATGAAGCACTTATTTAAATGCAGTAGATTTAGTCTTGTGGAAAATTCACAAAAGTCAGCTCTACTACCCCCTCCCCCCCCCCCCCCCCCCCCCCCCCCCCCACCTTATGATGGATATGTTTGAGTTGGATAAAATTGTGCTTATATAAAATGCTTGCTGGCTGAAAAGACAAAATTAATTAAAGATTATCACTAAATTTTGTTTTATATGTTATATTTTTGAGAAAAAAAAAACACCCAGAGAACAAATTTGAGAATCACACAGTATGCTGAACAATCATGTCTTCAAGCTGAAAACAATTCTGCCACCAATCCTGCCTAAAATTGCCTTTAGGTTTTGAAGCACTCATTATTTTGACGTAGGTCACATAGAAAACTTAAGGCAATCCTGCCAAAATTCTTGGAAACATTTCTGGCCTCCTGCATAATTTGAAAGTTGAAAATGTGCTCTTAGTTTTTCCTTGCTTGTGCAGAACCATCAATGTTCGAAAAGAGATCAGTAAAAGGGGTAAATTAGGGTTCAGCTTGTACCATACATTTGATAACTTAATTCAGGAAAATTTACATAAAACTAGTTCAAGTTCAGCCAACATTCCCCCTACTGCCAAATATGTCACTAACCCATTTTATTCGTGTGGGGTAACCCAATGTCACAAGTGTAACTCTTCTTGACCGCCCAAGACCTCGTTTTATATTGCGTGTTGTCTTGGTCATCTTTCATTATCTAGTAAAAATGTCTCAGGTTTATACCCCCATCGGGAACTGACCTAGCTTTCTTAACCCAGAAATATCTCCCCGCTTTTTTTTATGACAGTTTAATGAGGTGGATGCATTCTACCCACGGACTGATTTGTGAAGTTTGAAAGAAAAATTGGCCTAGAATTGTTTTAATATCAGCTCTGAAACCAACTAATGTAAAACACCACAAACACATGTTTGGATTGCATCTACAACAAAAGCTACCTTGCGTTAAGTGTGATCCCACATTGAACAGATACCTATGACAGGGTGTTTATGATATTGAGGTACTTTCGTCTAAAAATAACAACAAGGCCTTTTTTAATGGGCCCAACTTTATTCAGGCCAGCACAAAAAAAAGGTCTGCCTGTTTGGTGATGACCCATTTGTGGAGGATGAATGGGCGGCCCCCTGGAAATCTACGAATGTTGTGTAGGTGCACTATCATTATAAAAATAGACAATAAAAAAGTTGCTTGCAAAATGCAGTGAAAATGCTCTGTGAAGCTTGGTGGTTTCTATCCAATCTAAAATACCATACTTCTAGTTATCTGTGTTGATTCTCTTCAGGTCATTGACGTTTATTACACAAATTGAGTTTGATGGCATGAACCTCTGCACTGTAGGTAGCTGGGCTCAATTGATATCTAATATTTTACAACACAGCTAAAGCTTAAATATGGTCGTCAGCCTGCGGAAAATTATAAATTGCGCATGGTCACTCACAATGGGGTTTTTAAAGGGAATATACAACATTTGCAAGCATCGAAAAATATAACTACCAAGCTTTTACGAAATACCTTACTAGGATGTTGGTAAATGACAGTCTAAAGCATCCTGTAAAATTGTGGCACTGGTGTGAAGTCATTTTCAAAAAAAAAAAATGTATTTTTGTATACATTTCCAACGGTGGTCGGCCGACCACCGTTGGAAAAACCTAACTATTTTTCAACTACTGCTCCCAACTTCACCCTTTTTTCAGTCCAAATTTTGTTTGCTATTGGTTACATGTTCATGAACGGGTGCAGGCAAGCTAGACTGGTTCCCTTACCTTACAATTTTCAGGCATCTATAAATTGATTCATTTTATCTTTAGTGGAGTCAAGTAACCAGACTACTTGAACATTTTTGTTTTTCTTGGTTTTTCCAGCATTTTCGAACACAAAACTTTAAACACGTCAGTGTAACAATATTTGATCTATTATACTAACCCCTCAAATAGTTCATTTCTGAAAATTACAGCAAAAGCCAATGATGTACATTCCCTTTAAGTCATTGATGCAGGTTTGCCCTAAATATACACACTCAGAGAGTGACCCAAACAATTAATGATGAGATGATGTGCAGAAGTTGCTGATAAAAACGTCGAAATGTTTTTTATTTTATCTCATCTGCACCAAAGTTGGGTGTAATTATGCAACAGCTGACATTGAGTATATTCGTAGGACTTTGCAAAAACTGTCTCAGATTCTGCCTCTATAGTCATAAATGTCATGATCATAAAACAGGTCATGAATGGCCTCGCATTCAGTAAATGAAGAATGAGCACTATTTATAACACTATCCATTATTGTATGCACAATCAGGAACCTGCCCTTACACCTTGAGTCATTGTGGATCTGTATACATGCAACATGCCTGTAGCTATTTCCACTTACATTCAATATTCCCCTTTTATTTTCTCAATGAATGTGGGCTTACATTAAAAACAAATATGAGCAAGGGACAATATTTTCATTTTGTTAGCAAAAACATATTTGGAAACTCAAAAATACTCTTGTTATTGTTTAAAATTGTTCAAGTCTGAACATTCTTCTTTTCCCCCATGGATTGAGAGAAGCTGCTCTAGAGAAAAGTCTTTTTTTTTTAAACGGCGCAGTTTGCATTTGCATCACTTGAGCCATCTGCACTTTTCTCAGGCTGAAAGTAGGACAGGGTATATCTCTGTCTGCTTTGACTCATCCCGCAGAGATGGACATGACACTAGTGATAAGTGCTTGTAACCCAATGCCGCAGGGACCAAACATGTAAGCAAGGTTGACCCATAACTGCCAAGGAGCAAACACAAGATGGCAGTATATACCCTTGCCTCAGCCAGTTCAGACAAGACATTGTTAAAGGCGGAGGGTGCCAAGTTTCTGATAATTTGGCCCTGCC